ATTAGCCCTGAACATCTTTCAAACCAGACTTGAACGAATGAAAAGGGCAACTTTTCGCGTGACTGCGCTAAAGTATTTGAAATCAGCCGTCTGATTTTCGATAACCGCCTTGAAACTCGAGATCTACAATGAGAGGTGCTAAAAAGTACTAAGAAAGAGGAGCGTCTGTTGATTCTATTGTAAAGCTGCAAAAGGGTCGCCTGCACCGACTCGACGGTATTAGTGAAGTTTGTTAGTAAGAGACCAAATAGAGTGACTACTTCGGCGTTAGAGTCTCAGGCTAGCAACGCTCAGACTACGCCTTATAACCAAGCTGTCGAAATGCCGGTGGGAAGCCAGTGGGAGACCACAGAATCAGATCACGAGCATGCGTATTCGTTCCTGTACCTAGTATTTCTTCCGTTTGAAGAAGACGCATGCAACTAGTCATGTAATCGATTTGATGCTGCAAACTCTCCGCTACCTCGTGACTACTTACTTTGTCTACCTAACTAAATACATTCAGTATCGTTTTTGTGAGCTCGTCTTCCAATTTAATCAGATCGAGCACTGTCGGATGAGCAAAAGTCTATCATGAAAGCGAAACATCTATTGTCAACCACTTTCCATGCCCTGTGACATTGTTGAAAAAATCATTAGGTCACGTACATCTTTACATCATTGCTGTAATTTTCACACTTTCCGTATCCGTGTACCAGAAGAGCTCGGAATCGCATAAATGCAATGGCACTTTCACGATCAAAACCGGAGCTGTGTATTAATTGTGAGTGGATTCGGTACGAGTAGAATATTTGATAGGCCATTAGTTATTAAGTTGTTATTATGATGTAAAACTGTAGATTTTTGATAGATCCTTGATAGGTAGATAGTTGTTACTTGTTGAGCCTTGAATCGAAACTAGGCAGCTGAGCTAGGAGTATCTGAAAGGGAAGGTAATCACGTACGTAACGACCTACAGGTCACATACATAGGTCCACTGTGGCTTGTGACGGTCAAGTATTTACTCTATCGCTGTAAGAAATCAGTGAAAGCCTTTGCCTATGGCGAAACTGAGCCAAAGCTTTTCGTAATTTCCCTGCTTGTCGTGATGCAACTCGTGGTGTTTTTCATTGCAGTTCTCAACCCAGCTTAAATCAAATCGCTCGTATTGTTCCGTCAAAGAAGACGGCGATCTCCGCAATGAACAGGTGAGAAAAGCTGGACAATCTTCTTGGTTGAAAAAGTGCGTTCGTGGGCATGAAACTGGGCAGTGTGATGGATTTCTTTGCAGATAATAATCTCGATTTTAGTGTTTCATTATGGAAAAAATTCTATCCTCACCGAATTGGGCATTGAATATAAGGTCTAAGGAGGTCGAGAATACAACTAGGATACAGACCATTAAGAAATGTCAAGCTCATTTTGTAAACTTTGGGAGGAGGAAAGATAATAAGAATTGAGAAATGGAAGGAGAAAGATCCGTTTACAGGAGAAAGTCTCGAATAAAAACGGACAACAGACCGGAAATCAAAACACAAGAACAGCAAAAACAGTGGGCAGCGGGCTCTTCGACGGAGATAGAGAGGAAAATAGGAAGAACAGGAGTCTAAAAATTGGTAACAGGTCAAAGAGGCAGAATTCATTGGAAGAGCATTATGTACATTAATAAGTAGAATCAATGTTTACCACACAAATTGTTTGGAATTGTATTGAAAAATTGTTCATTCGCCTCAGATGTTGGTGCCTGGTAGCGATTCGCCATGAAAAGTAAAAAGTCGAAGTTTTGTTTCCTTATTACAGTGGCTGAGAATTGCCTGAACAAGGCTAAGGGAATCGAAACATTCATTTAATGGGAGCGCAGTTGGCGCGTTCGGTTTGGACGGGTTCGTTTTGTATTACGTTGACCTCGCTTTACTTTCTTAATTATGTCTGGTAGCCTTTCCATCTTTTCAAAGTCACTATAACCTATTCTATTCTGGCAATGTACTGGCGAATGATGTATGAAATATGACGATTATAGTCCCTCCTATGCAGAATAGTTGCCCCTTGTGTTTCTTCCTAAGGAAACAATAAATAAACCAGCCATTCTACAGTAACTGCGTTGTGTCTTTTGCTCTAGACTTCTTTTGCATACGAGCCATCTCCATCTTCTCGATAGTGTTAATTTCCAATAGATTGATTTATTAAACTAGGTAAACGGAAGCACATGTAAGTAGACAGATTCCAAACTCCAAGAATCAAGATCCAAGACAGAAATAAAGATTCACGTATAGTAGCCAACGGGCTTTAGGAAAACCTGTATAGCCTATGACTGTCTAGAACTCGGATTAATTTTTTTGAACAGCAGTATTATAATTATTCCATGAGCAGAATTCGAAATCTCCACTGCGTTCACATTTTTCAGCCAAACTCAACTCTTATTCTGAATTTGATCAGCACTAGTTTGGAAGCAAGTTATTCACAAGATCCTCTGAGCGCTCTAGGATAGTTCAGTAGGCCCATCAATTAAAGGTGAATCTTTCCCCAGAGGTGCAATCCGAATCTTAAATTAGCCGACTTGGAGAGTGTTAAAAACTTTTTGGACACATAATAAGTTGATCCATTTTGTCATGGGGGGAAGTTGAAAACAAATACGGTCGACTTTAGAAGAAACGTGGCCTAATATGTAGTTGGTGTGACTGCTCTATCTTTTTCTCGCGTTCAAAACCCGTTTGGAAGAGAGCACCGAAAACTCACACAATTTCCCTTCACCGTAATGCTGGGAAACGTGTGAGTCCACTAGTTACCTTATGGCTCAAACAAAGCACCTATTGCTTACAATGGAAAGTGGAAAATGCAACTAGCTATCCGTATAGGTTTCTGCTATACAACCATCGGGGGTCCGGTGTAAACATTCTCAAACAGAACACCACAAGCTGATCGATTCATTCTGCGATTTATGTTGACGCTCACTTTTTGATTAGATCACTGTGGACGTCTCGAAATGACAGAAAAGTTTTTCTTGTTGGGGGTTTCTTCCAATGTATGCTGGACACAGAAATCAAGGTCCGATAAAGGACAGGTCGGGTTTCCACAAATAGACAGCATTACGTAAACAACAAAAATTATGAAAATTTGAAGGGAATGTGTTTTGTTGGGCGCAGAAACCTGTACCTGTCACAACTTCATAGTAATGTGCTGATTACTCAACACGAATAAAAGGTGCCGCTAAAATTATTGGGGAATTCAACTTACTTTTAGTTCGAGCGGCAAAACGAAAGTGAACTGGAGGTGTGGACAGCAATCTGAATATAGCCTGCACAATATGGGTGATGAAACCTCCCTCGGAAGCATTGCGGCTTCTTTCAACTTCGATTGCCCCCCCCCCCCTTCTGTAAGTGAGTTAGTTATAGAGCCATTGAGTGTCTTTAGGGTAATCTTAAAGGCACAGTTCACGATAACTATAGTTTCTGCGACATTCTACTAAAATGTATCTGTGGTCATTTCGTCTATCATATGTGACGCTGTCAGATCGGAAAACTGCCTAGATAGGGCGTTATAGAGGCTCAAGGATTGTCTCGTGTGTACGCGCGGGCGAGTTTTAACGGCATTGTAGAAGCTGCATTATTTACAAGGAAGCCCACAGGCAAGTCCAAGGACCCATTCTTGAACCATAGCGACAGTGCAAGGCAGTCATGAACAGTTTTGGCTTGATGTAGCCAGCTCTTTGGGCAGTTGCAACAACTGAAATCTCTTCCGAACACTCCTTCCATTTCAATTATAGTAATTTCGAACACCATCTATTTTCACTGTTTTTGAAGATCCTTATTTTTCGCAGAAGTGGCGAGTTTTCTCGCTTTCTCCAACACTGCTGCGCTATTCCCAACTGATGAAAAGAGTGCTCGAAATTATCGTGAACTGCGCCTTCAAGAACGTTATGGAGACCCCAGACACTACCCTTGGAACGATTAGCACAATTGATAAGAAATCTTCAAACGTCATCAAAACCAAGCGGAACTTCATCGTAACGATGTGCAAGTTTTATGATAATGTATTATTGGTGGATTAGGGAAATTGGGTGGGAACAACTGTCATTCTACTTCTAAACTTTGGAACCAATAAAAAAAGAACTTGTTCTGGCATCAATCTCAAAGTGTCATAACGACAGCATGGCATCTTTTCATTTCAACGTCAGAGATGCACATGTCGTGTACACGTACTGTGTCCGGCAGACTTCTTTTCATATTTGGATTACTACCCCTCTCTTTCTGGTCCCAAGAACTCTACCCCCATCTTGTTGCGGGAAATGCAGAAATCACGCTGCTCATGATCCAATCAATCGCGCCCTTTCCATCACAGCGATATCGCCTTCTGAGCGGCGTGCTTGGGATGGGAAGGTGGTCGTGCTGGCGATCCGGTGCAGGGTCAGCCGACGAAAAACGGTCGAGGCAAAAACGACGTCCGAGCGTCACGCCCAACACCGTATAAAAGATCGGATCCACAGCTACAGGAGGTATCACCATCATTGCGCATTGTCAACCAGACCTTGATGAGCGGGACTGGTCTAGTTTCGCTTGGAGCTTCCGTTGTCCACAACAACCTTCCTGCAACTGCCACCTAGACTCGAAGACCCCTGTACACATCCAACTACTTTGTATTACGAACAACCAGGAAGCTTCCTAATTTGAGAACGTTGGAAATGAAGCGAATCAAATTCTATTTGTCATTTCACTCTCAACACCTTCTAGCACCACTGTTAGCGAATACTGAAGACATAGAGCACTACCAATACTGGTAGATGACATAGCGCTCAGGTTTTTATGTTGATAGGCTGTAACTAGTTTGCATTGCAACGGAAGTTCGTTCTTCCCCACTCTTTTCTTTGCACAAGAAAAATGAAACATTTAGAGTCGTGTCTTGGATTTTATCACATGCTTGTTACTTAAACCTTGGATTTTTTTTGAATAGTTGGTTTTCATACGTTAGTGAGTTCAACATAAAATATTTTCAAGTCCAAAAAAAGGATCACCTCGTTTTAGGGTATGGACGAGAAAACGAAACTGGCACAAGCCGAACAGGTGAAAAAATTCGCCTTTTTTGGCGTCGCCGTTTCGACCGTCGCTACGCTCACAGCTATTGTGGCAATACCCATGCTCTGCATGTACATGCAAAACGTACAGTCCGGTTTGCAAGATGAGATCAACTTCTGTAGAACGAGAGCTGTGTCACTTCGGGGAGAATATGTCAAGGTAGGAACAACTTTCAACCCTACTACTACTTATTTTACATTTGCGACAACATATATAACCATTATAGCTGGAAACCGAAACGAAAACTGCAAGCCGTGAAAAGCGTCAGACTTACCAATGCTGTTCATGTGGCATGGGGCCAGCAGGACCTGTAGGGAATCCGGGACAGGATGGTGCCCCAGGCAATGACGGACGACCTGGAGCTCCAGGAGCACCAGGTCCAGATGCGCCAAGCGACTATGTTGCTCCAAGACCGGAAGATTTCTGTTTCGAATGCCCACCGGGACCAGCAGGAGCTCCTGGACAGCCCGGACCCAAAGGTCCCCCCGGAAATCCTGGAATACCTGGTGAGCAAGGACCACACGGTAGACCAGGTCCTAGCGGTGCACCAGGGCCACAAGGTCCAATTGGAGAACCTGGAGCTGATGGGTTGCCTGGAAAACCTGGAGCTCCTGGACAAGTGCGAGCTGTACCATCACCGCCAGGACCACCTGGATTGCCAGGAGAACAGGGACCACCAGGACCTCCAGGAGAAGATGGACGTCCTGGAAATCCAGGTCAGGCCGGCCCTCCTGGACCGCAAGGAGATGCTGGACAAGATGGAGCGCCGGGAAATCCTGGAGCACCTGGAGAACCTGGGCCCCCTGGATTGGATGGAAGCAAAGGTAGGCACATTATATGTCATTCCATTAAGCGGCACACATTAGATATGAGACATTTGTATTTTCTGAAAATTATAATATTTTTAATATTCAAGAATTAATAGAATGATAATATTCAAGAATTCGAAAGTGTTCTTAAGAACCATAATTTTTTGATATGTCCTTGAAAACGGTATCTTACAAGAATAGTAGAAACCTTTGAGTTTTTTGATCAGACAACCTCTTTTCATGATTGAAACGCAAACCGGAGAAGAACGACATAGGGAAGGCTTACCCGAGAAACTGGGTTGCAAAGCCCCAGACAACAGAAAAACCCCAGTCCATGCCGGCTAGAGCCCTCATTCCAAAACCTGTCGATACGGATCCTTTCTGAAAACGATTCCCATGCAAGATACAGGCCATGATGCCCTCTCATGAGAACGCAAACGCAGACAATGCAGCCACTAAACGAGCAACAAAAACATCGTGCAGCCTCTTAGAGAGCTGACCAGACGTTAAGAATAGGACTAAAGTTGACTTTCCAGGTGGATGCGATCACTGCCCGATCCCTCGTACAGCTCCTGGTTATTGAAATCACTCGTGTACATAATTAATTCCGTAATATGTTGCATATTGATGTGGCGAGTTGCAATAAACATTTGTTGTCGTCGTCGTTATGATGAAATAATAACTTCACTTATCGCTGCCACATTAAGTGGGCACATCATGAGCAACAGTTGAGTCGGGTAACACTGTCGTCTACTTCTCGCCACAACAAAGTTCAGGGAAACCTGTTGATAAGCCTAGATTTCATAAGTTCAACAGGTTTTACGAACTATAACGCTGTTTTCAGAACATGGTCAGTATTGATCATATAAGTCAGGTTGCCACCCATTGGGTTTATTCAGCATTTTTTCGGTGTTTCGGAGAAATAACAACTTATTCGTGAGCACCTAAGCGGTTAACAAAAAAAAAGATCGGTAAAATCAACAAGGAGCACTAAGTTATGAAATAACTTGTTACAACCTAGTCCAGATGAGCAGAAAGCGAAGGGTTCGAACAAAATGACCGCTTACTGGAAGATTCAGCGGTTCAGCACCGAATACTGTTGTTTACTAGACAATATAAAGGTCGTTCTATGACCATACTTTTCTTTCTCTAACGAATAACAGAATTATTAGTGCTTTCTTCCTTTTTTTGAAATCGTAGGACTCCCATGGGCGTCCAAATCTCATACAGGTTCCCGACTCGCACCTATTTTTTCGCCCCGAAGAAGGCAATCGAATGGAATGGAATTATTGCTGCTTTTCGATTTTTCTCCGTACTCCACCTCTCTCCCACTTTTTTGAATTCCCCGATCATTTAGGCGGACAAGACAGAGTCATAGAAAGCGCTGATCACTTCAACAAGCGATTTGAAGGAGGCAGGAAACACAAATCGTCGAATGGAGCAGAACAGAACACAGTCCGATAGATGACGTCTAACTGAGATAGTGCGTGGAACATTGAGAGTGCACTTGCCCTGCAGATGAACGCCAAGGTCATTCAAAACACTATGGATTTTTTTACCGTTTCCTCAGAAAAATCGCTATTATTAAGTGTCCGTATAGAAATATCATCGTCTGAAACAAAGCAAGGTACGGCTTTCCAAGTGAATAGTTTTCCTCATTTGACTTGGGCCAACTCTATCCCTCTTGCTTCAGGTAATTCGTCGAAGGCTAGCCTTGAGATTTGAGATGACTATATTAAATGCTTTTTTCGATGCCTCTATCATTCGGCCGACCTGCATAAATGCTAACGTTGACCCTCACGTCCAAAACAGCACCAAGATGAAACGAGATCATATCTTGAAAAGAAGTTAAAGAGGAGTTGCTGTAAGATGAGTCGAGGTCGACGGTGGACCTCCTCGGAGTAAGCTCCGGTCAAATAGGTAAATAACAAAAAGGGAAGTATGATAAGGGGAGCGGTCTGGGCGAAGGGGGTGCATGGTGATAGCGAAAAGCTTTGGCTTAGAGGTATTTTCTTCATTTTTTATATACTATATATATTCCCCTCTCCCGAAGCTAGTTTTCCCTACCTGATTCTCCCCCCAATCTCAAGACGGATATTTTAAATGATCTTTGGGAGATCCTCTCCTTCCTCCCTAGTAACCGTGGGTGATAACACAAAAGATGGACATCTAACAACGACTAATTGGCCACCTTTTCATCATCTCGCTAGAGTACCATAAAAAAGCTGAAATGCGGTACGGCGGCAGACCTTGTCGAATTGTTCGCGTTCCGGGGTTTGAGTTCGCGTGGCTGGATTTCCAACGACCTTCTTTTCTTCTCTTCGTTCTGGCTAAGACGAGCTTTAGCTACTCGGAAAAGCCAAAAATTATATCGTTTTCACTTCATCTCCTCTTCATAACTCGCTAAACTTGACGATATTTTCTTACTCAGACAACAGCAAAATGACAGAATGGGGGAAAGAAGTCAGGAATAGTGGCGTGAAGAATATGACAATAAAGGATATGATAGGGTGATAGAAACAGGAAGCAAGAGGATGGACACCGGAAACATAAAACATGCGTGCAGTAAGGGCACAGTCAGTATGTGCAACGTCAGATAGAGCCAAGTCCACAGAAAATGTGAAAGTGAAAGGTACATTGTGACAGTCGCGCTAAAGATCTAGAATGATGCTAATTGTGAGACAAGAATAAAAACAGTCCGTTGCCTAGAATTGTCTAGAATCGAATAAAATCGAAAGGCCATCTCTTACGAAATAGTGCAGCACGTGGCCGGGTATTTGGAAAAGTTAGTTTTGTACATGTATTTTGTAGTTTTCGAGCACAAAATTGCCTTTAAAATCATCGTCTTATCTAAGTCCTAAGTAGTCAAACCGCAGAGCGACAACTTCGTAAGCGCAACCGCTTTCAAGCAGCTTCCGCTTTACCCCCTCGATAGTTAACAGGTAGAGCGGGAGTCGTATAGATGAAAGGAGAGGCTGTCGACCTCTACTCGTACATTTCCCTTCCGAATTCATAACCATGCTAGAGGCAACAAGTCTTCAGTTCAGATGTTGTCTTCCTGCCAATCCCTTATTATACAAAAGGGAACCAATTCTGTTTGAAAATATGCTGGAATGATTATAGAGTTCACCTTTTAACTGATTGTCATCCTGATTGTAGAGAGCAGTAGAATTATTGCTTTTTCTTCCTTAAGAGTTGAGAATTGAGATATAAATCGATGCAGTGCCTCATATTCTCTCGACAGATTCAGTTTCGTGTTTATGTAGAAAACTTCTTTTTTGGTGGGCACCTTCGAGTATCCAATGAGAACCTGATCTTATGACGGCTTATCGCTAACTGCTCTGCCGTCAATGTTGAGGTTGAAGACTTTGAAGAGCTACAGAATCAATAAATTGCAGAGAATAGGCGTTTCCGATGACAAATGTTCCTAGGGCACTTAATATGATCTTGAGCAACACTATTCAGGATTGTCCATTCCATGCATATCTTCCTTCTTTAGCCGGCAGATCAGCTGTGGTTACGATTGCTGGCAAGGTGATTGGGATTCCCTTTTTTCATTCCAACACACTCTGCAAAAGTTCACAAACTAGGATTCAAACGAAAAGTTGTCTGCAACTCACGTGACACCGCGTTGGCTTATAAGCACAAGCGATTCTCAATAGTGCATTCCAGCGCAAGGTAGAAGTTTTAGGTCTTCAGGGCATTCCCGTGTAGATTTTTGACAAACAGAATGAATTACTCGCTGATGTTGTGGATAAGATATTCTTCTGAAAATGGCAGAAGAAGCGACGTGGTTGAATACGGTTTTCAGATCCCAGGATTCGCATCTTGCAATTCGTGGCTACTTGTTCGCATCGAAGGAAGGAATGTAGATGGGGTACCTTAGAATTTTTTTCGACGATGATGGGGCTCATCTGATTATAAAACCCTTCATAAGCTTTGTTCTTTTCTGTCTGATATGTGTCGTTGGCCATGTGAGCTACAGTAGCGCTCAAAAGTTTTCAGTCGAACGTTTTCACGCTTTTTCGTTCATATCTTTTTCCTTAGTGGAGCGAATCGAGCGAAATTTTGATATGTTCAACTGGGCATATTTCACACTATCCAACACTGTTTGATTGTAAAGCAGCAACATCAACAGATAGAGCAAGGTGTTTGTTGCGGTAGCAGATTTTGCTAAATTAAAGTTGCTGACGTCTCCACTTATTCCTACCGTATGAGCGTTTTTCTCATCTATTGTGTTCGTCATAACCGCTCGTACAGTTTAAACAGGACAAAAAGGAAAGAGATTCTAGAAGGACCATTGTCTGTATTTGCCGTTGTTTTTGAATTCAAGCTCTTCTTGATATTTGGAACATGATCAGATTGCAGGTTTATAGTGGTAAATATTCAAAATACACCCACGCTAAACATATAGAAATTTCGCGTGATTAGACCCAGTAGGAAAGGAGTTAAGACTGAAAAGTATGACTTGAGAAGCATTTCACCGAAGACTTTCCAGCGCTACTGTATGTGCTGTCGGGCTCCGCACACTAACCAGGGAGCGGTAGTCTACTTAAAGGCACCGTTTACGTTAAATTTGGGGGTACCCTTTTTTGACGGGATTTCATAGAACTACTCTAGAATAAAGCGATAACAATGAAAAAAGCGCAAAAAATGATGTATGATGAAAAAAAGAAATAGAAAAGGTCAAAAAAAAGAAGCTGGAAAGGGGGTTGGACGATTTTCACATTGGAAGAACGGCGGTTAAGGGAGTTTTCGGGCGAGTGCACGAAGACGACGCAATCCAAGCAGACAACTTCGCTCCAATGCGAATGTGGTGAAGGACAATTACAACGCGTAGTCAGCCTGGCGAGGGGCGGAGGCCTCCCGTCCCCCACTGTTCCTGCCCTTATTGTGCCTTATCCAGACCGTTTTCCGACCTCATTCCTGCACAAATGGTATCAAAGGGGGCGTCGAATTCAAACCATGTGCAGATCTCCGAAACCATTTTTTCGTGAACAGTGCCTTTAATGAGGAACTTT